CCGAAAGGTGCTTCCCTCAGTGTAAGACTTCAATGATCTCGTTCTCTCAGACCTGGAGTAACGAGTTCTGGAAGTCCTTGATTGTGTGTCGCCTGTTCTGAGGCTCCTACTCTCTGCTTGCGATGGCGTGGTATGCCTACCATGGTCTTCTGAGTGGCGAGGAGGCGTATCGTTTTTGGGCCCCTCTCCTGTCGCCACCTCCTTCCCTTTTATCTGGCGCTTCATCAATTCCATGTCCGTCGCCAACTTCCTGATTAACTCGTCCTGCTCCTTTACCAGATCCTCCAAAACTTGAGGGTCGATCCTTCGCCTCTGTCTATCAGGGCTTGATGAGCGACAGGGGCTGTTACCCCGCCTCCCCCTTGCATCCCTCCGGGGATTCTGTCGCTGGGGCTCCAGATCTGCCATGGGAGGGATGGAAGGCAAGCCTTCGCGCCTCCCACCTCCCGCTGGGGTTTGCCCGTCAATGGCAGACTGTGGTAAATCCTCATTGTGCACCATTGCGTCTACTCTAGCGAGGAAAACTTTGATCAAGAGGTTTTGTTCTTTCTGTGATTCCCATAGACGGCGCCAATTGTACGAGCAAGAAATAATCTTCTCGTATAATCCTGTTGATCAAGTCCGCGCTCCTCCAAACGACGTCGCTTTACTCCCTGAAAACACAAACGTGAGCTAGCCGGCGGGAGTGTGCCGGATACCTCTCCGATGCCTAAGTCAGCGAAATAGACAAATAGACAAAAGCTCTGTGTATTTGAGAATCAAAGTTGTATTACCTCTCCATAGGTAATGTTGTGAGCTTTTATAGGTTCCGCGTGGCACAATCCAAGTAGGACTCTTACTCCTCCACATAGAGTCCTCCTAGGAATCACCTTTCTGAAAGATCATGCCTATCCTTTAACACCCCCCTCACTGCTTAAACCAAGTGAGATGGTTCTACCACGGTTGGATGTCAATACGACCAAGATAACATGGCCATGCTAAAGCCACAGGCTAGACCGAGCTCCCACTGGCTCGGTTCTTCCTTTCACTATGTGTACCTCGGTTTGACATTCCAACTGTGCTGTCCGAGACCGGACTGATCACATCGAGCTTGGACTGAGCTAACCAACAGCAAGGTTCTGAGAAAAGCTCAACATACTTTGGCCCATTATAGTATGACCGGGCTAACTGTCATTGTGCCGACCGTGGTGACCGAGCTAACCACCAAGGCTCTTCTGGACCGGACTAATTACAAGGCCCTTTTTACTTAGCCCTTCTTACTGTGGTCCACAGAATGGCCCATTACCCAGCTCGGCCCAATTCCACAGAAATTACCCTCTCATACACATTTTTTATATTATTTACATATAAATAATATATTTATTTTATTATTTAAATAAATGATAAACGGGTTGAACTTATTTAAACTTAAACTCAGCTTATTTATTAAACGAGTTTAAAAGTTTAACTTGAACTCATTTATTTACTAAATAAATCTAGCTAAATCAAGATCTTACCAAGCCAAACTCGTGAACAACTTGATTCATTTGCAATTTTATTCCTTAGAAACCATGGATTAAAGGGAGAGGGGAGAAATTGAAAAATTAAACAAATAAATAATAATTGAAAGAGAAATTGTAAGGGTATAAGTAATTTATCAACAAGAAGGGAGGATTAGAGAAAGGACAGATAGAGAAAAACAATAGATAAGGTTAAAAAAGTAATTTGATACAAATTTACAAAGGTAAAAGGATAATTTAGCATTTTGAAAAATGTTCTTTCGTGTAATGTACACCGTATGCATCATTAACACAAAATTATGTAAGTTGAATATAATTTCGCGTAAATTTACAAATTTACGTAAGTTTTCAAGAACTTACATATATTTTTTTATTAGAATTGCATACGGTGTGCGTTCCATACCAGAAAATTTTCCTAGTATTATTAGTAAATCAATAAATCTTAAGTACATAGACACCCACCACAGTGCCTATGTCCTATTTTGTGTTTGGTGTTTATGTTGGCTGAGAATTCTACAATATACACTCTTTACTATATGCATCCTCAGTTACGTTATTTTCTTCTATAATTATAATTAATTTTCTTATTTAGTTATGACATTATTTTGATATGTTTAGTTATGCCTCATGTAGTGTTTGGTTATGACCTTCTTCTTTTTCTTCTTTTTTTTTTTTTTTTGTAGTGATTACTTAGAAAGTATGGAATTATTCGATTTTTTTCTTTAGTTATAAGGTGCATGTAATTTACATAGGTGTGTACCATAATCTTCTTTGCCCTATGTTCCTAACATTATTGTTTAGTTATTATTATTCTTAAAGATGAATTTTTTTCTTTCTTTTTTTTTTTTTGCCGATCTATAAAAAATAATTATAAATATGAGAATAATTACATGTGGAGAGTTGAAGTTAATGCAATGTAACACCCCGAATAATACCTTTTATGGAAATTATACGATAATCTATTTTTGAAATACCTTAAGCTAAATTAGTTGTCGTATAATATTAAATAGTTAAATTGATACTTAGAAAATCATATTTAATTTTATGGTTGTGTGCTAAAGTGTAATTTAATTTAAAATTAGGGCCATTGTGTTTTACCAAAAGATAATAATGTAACAAAAATGCTTTAGACCACTAATTAGTGGTGGCTCTAATACCCACTGCCACATGTGTTTTGTGCCTTGTTTTTTTTTTTTTTTTTTTTTTTCAATTGCCACCTCACTAGTGGTGGGGTTAGTGATGATAAATTAGTGGTCTATAGCATTGCTCAGTCGTTAAATGACGCTTCTCCCTCTCTTACAATTATTATTATTTTTTAGTAATAATAATGTTAAGGAGATTCTGGCCCGGTACAATTGTAGAAAAGTTATTATAGATTATAGTATATAATTGTGAGCATAAATTGATAATCTGTTTAGTATAGTTGTAGAATTATAGATTTAAGCAGCAGAGTAATATTTGGTAAATAAACTGTAAAATAACTTTTTGCTGTGTAATTGTCATTTTTGCCCTTATGAATACTTTATTATTATCAATAGGAAGAGAGTACATGTCATTCACTCTTACACCTTTCACTAATACACTTCATTTCTTAATCAATACTGTGTTAAACCTAAAATTAACCTCAAAATCCTTTTGGGTTAACACCGGAACTGAAATTAAATTTCGGCAAATGCTGGGTACATAAAGCACAAAGAAAGTTCCATTAATAGAGAATTGACAGTTGTCGATTCCCAAAACATCACTATAGGAGTTATTGCGCATGTAGATTTTGTGTTCACCAATCTTCTTTTCAGTATACTTCACGAACATGTCTTTATTTTGCACAATATGCCTAGTTGCAGCAGAAACAATCCACCATAAATTTATTGAAGGTTTAAGCACCATTGCTTCAGAAACTGTCATGGCAATAGGGTTATGATCCTTTTTATGCTTCTTCTGAGAACAAGTGGCTTTGATAGTACCTTTTTGACTGCAATTGTAACATGGGGCAATCTGATGCTTGTGATGTTGTTTTTGCCATTCTTGGTGTTTCTTTCATCCTTTCTGAAATCCCCAAAAGGTTTTTTTTTTTTTTTTTAAAGAAGTAAAAAATAGTTGATTTTTTTTCTTTTGTTTATTTTTTATTTTTTGTTTTTTTACTTTTTAGATTTTTTTTCTACACAAGACCAATTTAAAAAGAAAAAAAAATTAATATAATTTTAAAAAGGTTAAACTTCTCTTATGTTTACATCTCAGCATAAAAGAACTTAATCCCAAGGGTTGGATGAGCTGGCTGACATGACCTAAAGTCCCAAGTTCGAAACCTATACCAACCTCCTTATAACTCTTGACTAAAATTGGGCGGTGAGGGTTGGATTCCTCCACATCCTCCCCCCGAGTTGGCTTATAGATTTGGGTCATAAATGGGCTTGGCTTTGGGTGTTATCGGGTCATCAAATAAAAAAATGAGAGAACTTGAAGGGGAAGTGGAATCCATCATATGTCTTATTTCGATGATCTGAATCGTTTCTTTTTAGAACTCATTGAGTAAAATATTCATAGAAAAGATTAAGATGATCGGATATCGGCAACTATATGTTTGAATTAAATTTTTATTACAAAAAATGTATGGTTATTCTGGAAATTATATTTGTTGTCCATTTTTAAAAAAAAAAAAAATATAATTCAAACATATTAGTTACCGATGTCTAATTATTTTAATTTTTTACATGAATATTTTACTTAATGAATCAAAACATATAAACGGTTTGGATTGCCAAAATCGATTAAAAAATAGACTTAGGCCTCATTTGTCAAGTGTTTTTTTAGTCAAAAAGTCAAAAAGTTATTAAAAAAAATTAAAAAGCCAACAAATCATACCAAAAAGTCAAAGATTCTTTTTTCTCTTTATTTTTTTATACATTTTTTCATAAAAAGCCAAAAAGTCATCCTAAACATACTAATTTTTTTTAATCACATTTTAGCCAAAAAGGTAAAAAGTTATTAAAAAATCCTGTTCCCAAACGAGGCCTTACCAAACCCAAATAGTCTCTCAAATTGAGTTGACAACCTGAAAGAAATCTAACTCATTTTAAAATAACATCATCAAAAATGAAAAAAACAATGAAAAAAAAAAAGAAAAAAAAAAAGAAAGAAAGAACAAGAGAAAGGACTTATTTATGTTATCCCAAAACAGCCTCAAAATGAAAACAATAACCAAAAAAAAAATGAAAATATACAAAATTGGTAGAATTGGGATACGCTAGTAATTGAACCAAAACTTCAGGGTCAGATACGGCAAATTAAACTGGCGATTTTACCCTTCATAAACCCTAACCCTAGCCAATCGATCCCCTATTTATACCCAAACCTCTTCTTCTTCTTCATCTTCAATGCCTCGTGTATCTGATCTCTGTTTCTCTGTGTAATACATAGACAAAGAAAGAGAGATAGACAATCTATTAATGGATCCAGATTTACAGATTTATTCATGTGTAGATATGCTTTTTTTAAAGGGGTGTGTAATGCGATGATGATAAAGTTAATCCCAGCTCATTATGAGGCCTTTCTTACAAAGATAAGGTCTGGGAATAGACTCCATTTAACATCTATCTGAGCTTCATTCACTTCTTTTTCATTTGGAAAATGTTTGAGGGTCACAATTTTTGTGCCCACAATAGCTCAAAACTGCCAAAACGGTCTCTAGCATTGTTGTTTTCATTTATTTTGATTTTGTTTTTTTAAATTTAAATTATTAGTAGATGCTCTGACAACAATGGTTTTAAGTTTCCTGCGATCCAGATTTCCTGTGATGGTTTTAGGTTTTTGGCTAGACAATGATTTTAGGTTTTCTAATCATTCAGAATTAGCCCTTCCAAATTTTGGTAAATCTTCATTTCCCTTCCATATTACAATCATCTATACCTTTCATAAAATCTAAATTTGAATTGTAGTGATAATTGTTCATATAATTAGCCCATTTTTTCCTTCATATTTTCCTAAAACAATGTATCCAAAAGTCTAGCCTACCAAATAAAAACAATCTAAATTTCAGCTTTTGTTATAGATTTAAACCTTTTGTTGTAAGAACACATCATTAATGAATTTGTCCATAAATTTAATTTTTTAAATCTTCTAAACCTTTATTTTTGTAAATGGCTTTTGTACCACCATTTTCCCTCTGCTGTTGCATTTGAATCATAAATTTGGTTAGAAATTTATATATATATAAATTATAAGTTAATTTATTTTCTCCTTCCTTTTCATGAAACAATAGATGAGAAACTGACACCTGTATTGTATAATTTATTTATTTTTTTCACTAGTTAAAATTAACAATAGATGGATGGTTGAAATTTTACCCAATTATGAAGTTCTGATGGTTATACTTGAAAGGTATTGTCCAGTGGTTTAGTGGTGGTAGTAATGGTAGCGGCAAAGTAAAAGTGGAGGTGTCGGGGTGGAGCAGTGTAGTGGCAATAGTGGTGGTAGCGGTAGTGACAGAAGTGGTGGTGGTGGTAGTGTCACTAGTTATGGCCACTGTGGTGATAGTGATGGTGATGGTGGTTGTGGTTATGGCAGTGGTGGTGTGATGGTAGAAGTGATGGTAGTGGTGATAACGTGGTGGCATTGATAAAAGTTTAATTCGGAAGTGAAAAATATTTTTCATCCAAATAGGCTTGCTTTTCGTTGACTATAGAAAACATTTTTTGTTGACTTTTATTTTTCATTACCGTAATACCAAATATCAGAGAATGTAAAAAATATTTTTTACCCAAACAAACGGAGCGCAAATTGGAATATAACATCACAATGACACTGTTAAAGCATCCAATTCGAAATCAATTAGCAAGATTGGTGATACGAGATTAAGGTTTCGTTTGGGAATTTTTCATTTTAGTCAAAAAGTTAAAAAGTTACTAATTTAGTCAAAAAGTCAACAACTCATACCAAAAAGTCAAAGATTCTCTTTTCTCTCTACTTTTTGCACATCTTTTCGTAAAAAGTTAAAAAGTCATCTCAAACATATTAGTTTTTTTTAACTCATATTTTAGTCAAATAGCTAAAAAGTTACTAAATTAGTTTGTTCCAAAACGAGGCCTAAGTCTTACACTCCTCTTCGTGTGCAGCCCGATAACACGTGGTGGTGATTGAAAGGTCCGATTGAGATATGCGTCGGATGAGACAAATATACTTGGGCGGAGACTAATTTAGAGGTTGGGAGGCCACCAAAGATCTAATTCTAATACTATGTTAAAATATCTAACCCAAAACTAATTGATAATGAGTGGAGAGACTCTTATATTATACTAACCAAGTTTGAGTGGTTTAGATTGATGATGTGAGGTTAAATCTAACAAACACAATTAACAAAGAATAGAAATGTCCGTAACATTTGCCGAACAAAATTTGATAAATTTTTTGATCTTTCTATCATTACAATTGTTGGAGATTTCCTAAAAGTTTCAAAATTTTAATTATTTTTATTTATTATTATATTTTATTATTTATTTATTTCCTTTTATAGTCTTATTTATTTGAATTTTAAATTTGGTCTTGGTTTTAGTTTTATATCAAAAGGTGTGTCTGTTCCAAACAGATACCAAAGAGCCTATTTAAATAGGACTCTAATTGAGAAAAGAAAGACAACGTACTCTGATCTTTTTCTCTCCTTCTTCTCTTTACAGTATTTTATATTTCATATTTTCTGGGCAATTGATACATTCTTAACAAATTCTTCTAGTACAACTGTGCATTGTATCAGATTCCTGTGGATTCTTGGATTGTACCTTGGAGTCGTTTGTGATCATTAGAACCTGCACGGAGGGAGCGCATAACGACTTTAGGACAACGTCTTTGATGTGCCTCTCACAATCACACAGGCTACTTTCTGAATTCTTTCATCTTTTACTTATTCTGTTATATATTTGTATGTATAGTTTATATTGAATTGTGAAAACCTATTTAAAAAGAATCTGTTTTGCTTTCAATATTATTGTATAAAATTGATTTAAGATAAATATTTTGTAATTCCCACAACAATCTAAAGTCGTTAAATCTATAACATATTTAATCTTTTAATTATTTGTGTTTCATAATTGCTCTTGTTGGTATTGAACAAATCTGTTAATAAAAATAAATAATATAAAAAAAACAACAACGTAAGTTTTTGTTTCTGGAAGTTTTTACTCAACAACGGAAGTTTTTTTATTTTCAAAGTTACTGTTTTTCAAATTCAAACATCGACTTACATTGTATAGTGTGCCGTTTTTTCTTTCCCGGAAACAGTGTCATTGTGTTTTCAAATCTTGACTTACGTGTGTATATATATATATACTAGCGGTTGGGCACACACGATGTGTGTGCAAATTAAATAAATAGGAATAAAAGAAAATAATAATGAAATTAATATTATAATGTGTACTTAGCTTAAGTGGTATGAGTCCTCATACTTAAACCATGATATTTAATTAGTATTGTTCATGTTATAAATTATTGTGTTTAGATTTGATCTGTATAAAAATTTGTCACATTTTATTTATTCCTAAATTATTGGCAATTATTTTTCAATTTCAAATTTAATAACATTTGTGTTTGTTTCATTAGTGTCTCACACAGATTAAGATACTCCTTGGCTCTCTTGTTCTTTAAATATTTAAAATGGCTAATTTAGAAGAAGCTGTTAGTGTGAAACTTGAAAAATTTAATGGTAACAATTTTGAAAGATGGCAAAAACAAACAAGATATTGGTTGACCGTGTTGGGTCTTATGTCTGCCATAGAAGATCAGGATTTTGTTGGATCTTGGCTGTTACCCGAACATATCGAATTTCATTGTTATAACGGGATTCTTAGTGTGTTATCTGACCATTTATATGATGTATATCAGTCGACCACCTCAACTGCAAAAGAACTATGGAAAACCTTAGAGGCCGAATATGGAACTGTAGATGCTGGTATTGATAGGTTCATTGTCTCTAATTTTAATGGTTATAAAATGAAAGATGATATACTTGTAGGAGACCAAATTCATGAGTTTCAAGAACTACTTAGAAAAGTAGAAAAGAAAGGGACAACTTTTAGTGAGGAGTTTAAAGTGTCTTGCCTTATCGATAAATTACCTCCATCTTGGAATGACTTTGCTAAGCGTCTTAGGCATAAACAAGGAGATCTGTCATTAACTCAATTAATCAATACACTGAGGGTGAAAGAGAAACATAGATCAAATCTAGAAACTGGAAAAGAAAAAATGCCTAAGGTAAATGTGGTGGAGAATGCGAATAAGAATAGTTCCAACAATAATTTTTGACCTAAAGGTAAAATTTTCAAGAACAACCTTAAGTTTAAACCTAGAGGTCAAAATGGCAAACACCATAATAACAACTACCAAGCCAGTGCTAATAATTTTAAAGGACAAAAGAGTGGCAAGAGGTTGTGCTATGTATGTGGAGGAACCAATCATTATGCTAAGGATTGTTTTTTTAAGAAGACTGATGAGTATAAACCAAGGTTCAACAATAAGCAAAGAAATCAAGGTCATAATGCTCAAGTAAATATGGTTTTGGGAAAATAAGAAATTGCCGGACCATCTTTTAGGTATAATCCTGAAATTAATTCTACTTTTGAATATCAAGATTGGTGGTTAGATTCTGGGGCTAATATACATGTGTGTGTTGATTGTGATTATTTTAAAACTTTCCAGAAATCAAGTGGAGGAAGTGTAACTTTGGGAAATGGATCAATTGCACTTATACTTGGCATTGGAGATATAGATTTGAAGATGACTTCTGGAAAAATCTTAACTTTGAGAGATGTGCGATATGTTCCTGAAGTTAGAAGAAATCTTATTAGTGGATCGTGTTTAGTACAGTTAGGTTACAAAATTGTAATGGAATCGAATAAAATTGTAATAAGTAAAAATGATATTTTTATTGGTAAAGGTTTTATATGTGATGGTTTATTTAAATTGAATGTATCTTTTGAAGTTAATTATATCTCTCATAATATTTTCAATATTGAAGTTTGTGATTTATGGCATAAAAGACTTGGACATGTGAATTTAAGGAAAATTAGGAAAATGATGAATTTAGAATTAGTACCTAAATCATCTATTGATGTTAAACGCAAATGTGAAATATGTGTACAAGCAAAACAACCTAAGAAACCTTATAAATCTGTACTAAGAAATTCACAACTCTTAGATCTTATACATAGTGACGTTTGTGATTCTAATAGACCACTAACTAGAGCAGAAAATAAGTATTTTGGAACTTTTATAGATGATTGTTCTAAGTTTTGTTACTTATATTTAATTAAAATCAAAGATGAAGTGTTTAGTAAATTTAAAATTTATAAAGCTGAAGTAGAAAATCAATTAGAAAGAAAGATTAAGAAACTTAGATCTGATAGAGGAGGTGAATATAATATAGGTACCCTTAGTATTTTTTGTGAAGAACATGGAATTATTCATGAAGTAACCCCACTTTATTCTCCACAATCTAATGGGATAGCTGAAAGGAAAAATAGAACTCTTATGGATATGATAAATGCAATGCTTATTAGTTCTGGTTTACCGGAGAGCTTGTGGGGGGAAACAATACTCACTGCTTGTGTTATATTAAATT